TAAGTGGTCTGGGATATTCCAAAATAATCAATACTTAATAGTTCATTAACTTGGCAAAACTTCATTGGGCATTCGCAATCTACCAGATGCAATCATGTACAACTGGGGATACAACGACTAAAACTGACAAAATCTTAACCTCTTAAAATGCTGGTTAGAGACATGTATCAAATCAATGAGCGTGTGTGTGTGTGTGTGTTATGAGGAGAAATGCTACAGAGAAAAGTAAAACAGGGCAAAAGAGATAAGAAGTGCCTGGGTGTGAGGGCCATTTTATACATGGTGGCCAGGGAATCCCCTACTGAGAAGTGAGGGGACAGCCATACAGATATCAGAAGGAAAAAGCATTCTAGGCAGAGGGAACAGCTATTACAAATGCCACACAAGGCACAGTGTGTGACATGTTTACAGAACAATGACTGGACTGGAGAAGCAGGAAGAGTGGGGGTAGATGAGGTCAGAAGGAGGAAGGGTCATTTTTAGTATGGTATTCAAGGAAATAGTAAGGGTTTTGTCTCTTCTCTAAGTGAGATGATCAATTAAAGGATCTTACTGGTGCAATGAGGTGTCCTAACATGTTTTAAAAGCATCACTCTGGTTGCTGTGCTGAGAAAGGGCTTGTGGAGTGGCCCAAGGAATGAGCAAATATGGCAGAAGGATACAGTTGGGAGATTACTGTAGTGATTCAGATACAACAGTGGTTTAGCCCTGGGTGGAAATGGTAGAGGTGGTGAGACAGTGTGAGGTTCTAGATGTGTTTAGAAGGTCTCGTTGATGGGATCTGCTGTGGAATTGGAAGTAGAGTATGAGAGAACACTGTCAAGGGTGAATTTGGCTGAACTAATCAGAAGACTGGAAATTGCTGTATTTTGAAATGGAGACAATTGAATGAAGTAGGATACTGGTTTGCTGGGGGAAGAGGGCATGCAGGAGGCTGGCAGGGGTTCATATGTCGAGGTGGTGATGCCTGTAAGACAAACAAGTAGAGTAAAATAGGCAATGGAAATCAAAGTCTAGGGGACAGAGACCAATGGTGATAGCACTAGAAATAGGTGTTGCCTACTTTACAGTTTTAAAGACTTCAAGGCCCTGATGCTGGGCCTGCACAATTCATCTAATTCTTTGCTATATAAAATGTGGTTCCTTGGCTCTGAGAACAGCAGCACTATCTTCTGGCAACTTGTTAGAAATGCAGAATCAGACTGGGGGCAGAGCACTTGCCCAGCATGTGACTTTGATCGCCATCACAAAGAAGAAGAAGGCAGTAGAAGGTAGAGGGGAGGAGGAGGAGAGAAAAAGAAAGAAGGCTGAAAGAAAGAAATATAGAATCTCTAGCCCCCAGTTTTTAACAAGATTCCCAGGTGACTAGCATGTAATTAAAGTTTTAGAAGTCCTGTTCTAATTAGAATCATTTGGGTAAAACTATAAGCCCCACCTCAGAACAATTAAAGTGGAATCTGAGAGTGGGCCCAGGCCCGGAAATGTCTACCAATTTCTCCGGGTGGTCCTGATGTGTAGTCTGACTGAGAACTTTCATATAACTCTTACTCCTGGTTTAGTCCCTTTTCTTGCAATCCCATCCCTAAAGAGACGTGCAGTTCTATGAGAGGAGGAAAATATGTAACTAAATTAACCGTATCTCTGGTTTATTGGGGACAGTTTCAACACAAATATTAATAATACCCCTTTTCACTTCCCAAAGTGTCCTGGTTTGTATGTTTCCCCTATGTAAAACAAATTGGCTGTATACTTTCTATTTCCAGATTATAAATTTATAATAAGAACAGGTAGAATACAATGGCAGATGGCCTTTGGTTTGACAGATGCATTAAATATGGACGGACTCCTGGTGCTCCGATATTAATCCTTAGAGTCTTCTAGGTACAGCTTCTCAGAAATCCATAAATTCATCAGGCAGGTTGAGGAGAATCAGGCTCCTCCCAAGGACTGGGGTGAAATGGGGTGCGGGGTGTGGTTATATTCTACAATAAAAATATCAAAGCCAACTGTTCATAGGCCCCCAGCTGATTCTCAGTGATTATTCTACCCCACAACAAAACTTTTCCTTTTGGATCTTCTATTGCTCATTAGCTACTCCACCCATGGGCTCAGAGGGACAAGGGAGGAAGGCAAATAAAAAGCTAATTTAGAGTTCTGCTAATAAGTTAGGAAGGACAGAAGATGGAAACAATTGTACCGTGTCTAGTTACCTGTGAATTAAAAAACCCTTTTGGCTCAACCCTTTTTCAAATTATTACCAGCTGGTTTGAGAGATCATTGAAGGCCTAATTATTGCCAGTAAAATTAAAGTAATTCTGTGCTTTTAAAACTTTTTCAGCCATCAGCCTTTGGGTATTTTTCCTCCTGATAGACTAAGGACACAGAAGGAGGGCAAGGCCTTACCCTCAATGTCCTCCTCTTGTCCTTCCTCCACTTCCCTCCAACTCATGGGTAAATGTAGATAGAACGGTTTACAATATTTTTATGTAAGTAAGAAATAACTTGATAGTAACTTAAAACAAATGGCATAATCACTTAATAAAATGACACAACTGAGACACATGTGGGGTAGAGATTCCCATACACATTCACTATGTCATAAGGTTTCCTGGTTGAAAACTTCCACAAGGTAACCAGTGTAAATGCTCTGTTCACATGAATTTAACATGAAAAAGAAATGATCTATGGGCAAAGTAAAATAGCCAGATAGTGATAAACCAGTTGAAAGGAACTCTGTCCTCTTGCAAAGTAACTAGAATATAGATGGCTACTGAGTTAGGGTGGGTGAAATATTAAGAACTACCTGTTGAAGTGGAAGAAGCTTATCAATGGAATCTCTGCAGATTAAGAGTTAGTGAATGGGTGCCTGAGTGTGCGGTATGCATGGGAATCTTGTCTGCTTGCTGGACAGCAAATAAGAACAAGTTAAGAAAGCAACATGGACTAGTCTTTGCCTGTTAGGCTCTGGATCAGTATTAACACCAGTATGCTGGGAAGCATGGCTTATCCTTGATCTCTGTTAACAGTTAACCACAGTTTTTTCCTCCCAGCACTCTTGAAGGCAGGCAGCTGGCAATGGTAAACAATACTTGTAAGAAGCCTCCAAATGCTCCAAGATAAGTATCTACATAGAGCAAGGCAATAATTAACACAGATATGCCCACTATACCTTCTCCATTCCTTTCGGGGTTTAGATTTCTTTTAAATTTTTATTTTATTTTTATATCTTTACCTAAATGTATTATGCAGTAGGGCTTAAGATTTTGAGTCAATGATATGTGCTATTTTAATAAGGAGTTCTACTTTTAGTGTAAAATGTTTATCTAGATCATGTACTAAATACTCTGAACCCACCCAGGCAGGTCTGGAACAAAAACTCTCACTCATGATTCGAAAAGAAGAGAGTATCAACGATGAGAAAAGAGAGAAACATCAATGAAGGGATTTCAGCTAGTCAAACTGGTGAACTCTTTACACCAACAGCGTGGAAAATATGCAGCATGGGGCCTAAAGCAAGTGCTATTTATGTTTTCTTTACCCACATAACCTTCTAAAAGCAGCCTTAGGGAGGTTTTTGGCTTCAAAGAAAGCCTTTAAAAAAACAAAAAAGTACCACTTTGCTTTGTGGGCCACTGCAGAGAGAGATTTGTTTGTGTGTATAGTTGTTTTCACACTTGGCCTAATGGCCTGGGCATAGTCCAGGGAGGAAGGTAAATAAAAATAAGCAAGTATTATAATCACTTACCCTGTGCAAAGAGGGAAAAGAATGTTGCAGAAAAAAAAAATAGCCCCAAGTCAGAGTGAGTCAGAGCTGGGGAGGCCAGGAATATCATTCCTCACCCAGTACGTAGCTCTGGACTTTCAGGACTCCTTTCCTAATAGGGGACATAGAAGGAGTTTTATTCGGAAAGAGGGAGTAATACTCTATCTAGTTCTTGCATGACTTGGTACTATCTTGGGCAAAATGTGCTCACCAACAAATTATTAGTGTTGTCCAACTCCTGCATGGGAGCCTATGATCCTGAGATGCAGGGCCAAGCCTTGAATGTGGGCCCTCTGTTCTGCCTACACATCCTCCTGATGACGCTGAGAACAGTTTTCAGGCCTTTCCTTCCCGCTCTGTGCTGATTTTACTCCACACAGGTATTTTGGTCATAGGATCAGGCATAAGAATCCAAATCACCGTAATTACAAAGTTCTTGGAGATTCTCCAAAGAAAGATCCCATGAAGAAACGAACTAAACTACTGACAAAAGAGAGAAAACCCTTCCTAGTGTCTTACTCCATCCAGTGCAAATTATAGTGGGAAATTGTGAGTGACTCTACACTGAGAAGTAGTGAGCTTTTCTACTTCTCTACTTTTCCACAAAGAAGTGTTGCAGATGTATCGGTGCAAGGAAGTATCTCACTGGGAAGAACCCAGATTGAAGCAAAGACCAAGGAGCCAAGCTCAACGAACAGTGCAGCAGGATGTACCTGACACCAGACTGGGTTCTTTCTGGTACCAATGGAGCTTTAACAAATATAGGAATGGGGAGGCTTCTGGTTGAGCTATTTATGATTATTGCCACAGTCCTGGAGAGGAAGCCCAGAGTGGTATCTGTATCTGTACTTCATGAGATACAAGAAAGGTCATGGTCCAACCCAGTCTTCCAAACCCCTGGAGATTCATAGCTTACATGAGAACAATCAAGGGTCTGAAGAGTTTGGCTTTAACTTGAAATTTTCTTAACTTGCCCATCCAAAGTGCCTTTTCTGAGTATCACCCCAATGAAACTGCAGAGGTAAGTTGTTTGTTAATGCTGGTCTGAACTCTTTATAGATGCTAGGGCAGTTTTTATTCTCTTTCAAACATTGCAATGAATGAATTAAATTTGTTGAAGTCATACTAAGCTTGCCTTCAGCTGAAGCTATCCACTACAGGTCCACGGGAGCTCTCTAAAGTTTCCACGAGTGAGTAGGAGACACACATTGCCAAGAGCACAACGCTGCTTCTGTACCTGAGGTTCCTGATTATGACCGCTGGGATCCCGCTCATAGCTCTCCGCATACAGTCTGATGGTGGCCCTGACGCCACTGGAGGAACTGAGTCGGAAGATGAGCCGTGATGCATCCGAGAAAATGATCCTCAGGCCCTGGGAGCAGGAACATCCAGAAAGGGCCAGTGAACAAATGAATACACAGGCACTATTAAGTAATACTTACTATGGAAGTCAAAATGGTTCTGTGACCTAAAATCCATGAGAGTCACAACAATTTATTATTATTTCTGGACGCTCACCCAAGCAGGACAGTGTGGTAAACCTAAAAGCTCCTTGAGGTATCTTATCTGTCTCTTTATTCTATTTCGGTTGCTTTGTGGTTAATGTTGGCGGGGGTTAGGCGTAAAACTATCAACAGATGCTCAAGTTTTCTTGGTCTGATGCCATGAGAATCAGACAACAGAAGTAATAAAGATAAGATGGTGTTTAGAAAATATTTCCAGGGCCAAAGTTCATTCCTTATAAATCTGCTGGATGTGATAGAAGTGAGAAATTTATTTATTGCATAGGAAAAAATGTTTTGTTTTTGAGTCAAGGTCTTGGTCTTGGCTTTTCCTGAACTTAAAATCCTCCTGCCTCTGCCTCCTGAGTCTGAGGATTAAAGGTGAGTGAAAAATATCCATTTTAGGGTTACCCCCACATAATGTTAGACTTTGCTTGAAGTTCACCAACCCCCCATTCCCATATTCTTCTGGTAGCAATAGAACCAAATAACAAAATGCTCAGGCTGAGGGTTGTTGAAACATCCTCATTCTTTGACTCTCTCCTTCCTTCTCACCTGCAAGTCCTGGCCACGAGGGTTGGGTGGGAGCAGAGCTGTGGCCACACTTAACTAATGCTGCCCAAGATTAATTCATTTTAGGTCCAGAGGGTCCCTAACTCGCTGTATTTCCTCTTATTAGTGGCAGGGATGTTTAAAAATTATGACTACAAGATCATACTGTGATTTTTGCTGAAGGAAATTTGTCCTTCTAAGGCAGCTGATAAAGTAAATCTTGTCAATAAGAACATAGGCAGGAGCCAGAGGAAGAAAGAGGAAGAAACAAAATGTCTAGTGTGTTGCTACTTCTTAAAAAATAGCTATTTCAGGTGATTTAGATAGCAGACATTTTCCCTAAGCAATTTAAACTTGAAATTTCTCTGGCCCCAAATTCTGCTTATTAAGAATAAGCCATTATTAAAATTGTATCATACCTCATACATAAATCTGACTGCCAGCTCCTTACCTCTACCCCCACCTGGCAATATCTGATAGAGAAAGACACTATCATTCTATCTGAATAGTTTTCTGTTTTTCTAAATTTTGTAGGCATATTCTGTCCCAATTTCCAAATAAATGATGGTAGTTGCTTTCAAAGTGGCTCAACAATGGTAGCCATCTCCTTTACTGGCAACTGATTACTCTACTGGCTTTGCAAATGGCCAGAGCTAGGTAATTGCCATTGAGCAAATATATTATTTGCCCTCCATAGCCTGGAGTACTATATTACAATAATGAAAAATTGGCTTCTTACCGACCTTTGGCTGCTAGAGAGGGGAATGTCAATAAAATTTCAAATGAAGCAAATCAATAAATTACCTAGTATTCAGAAAGTATCATATGCTAAGTGAGGTTCAAACTAACAGAGTCCCAAAAGTTCCAAAACTGTTCCCAGCAAAGTTTTTACAAACTCTTTGGAAACTGTATTTCAATTGTCAGTATATGGAACACACCAACATGTAACTCATTGCTTAGGACTATGGATTGCTTATCTATAAATTGGCTGAAGCAATTCTCAGGCTGAAGCCCTAACACACCTGTTGTTGCAGATTCCAAATAACTTTGGGCTGCCTTTTCTGCTGATCTCCCAGACTTAACCCTTTCAGGTAGCTTCCATAGTACAATTAACCTCCTAGATTTGTGGATGGCCAGTGGAAGGTTCTTAAGAATTCAGGTTATAACAAACCATCGGCATGTGTTATGTACTCTTAACTAAGCCTTTAAAAATAAAATCATGCTATTTTCCCCTAAGGGTAGCCATAATATTCTTGGTTATTGAGAGTGATACAAGGCCCTGCTTACAAAATCCACTTTTGTAGTCACCATAGGAATATTGCTAGAGACTGTATGAACCTCCCCATGAGCATTTTGCCAAGAGCCAAGTGTTAGAAAAGCCTTTTCTTCCCTGAGGAACTGGTCTTCTTTTTCTTTCTAACAATAAGTGCTTTGTAACTCACCACATTTCCCTTTTCAATATGGCTGCCAGAATACTTAATGCAAATTTGAGGTTCAGTCCAAGTGGGTCCTTATGATTTGCATAACTATGAATTTTTCTTCTTCTGTTCTTGACTCTCTAATTTATATATTCCCTAGTCTTGATTTCTGTTTCTTATTTATATTCTAACAACTTCATTATGTGGTTTTGCTGCCACAAATCCTCTTGAAAAGACAAGGCCCAGAGCAAAGGAATAAAACATGTTTCCATCACAGCCTTAATCCTAAATTGTTGGAATTACAGACTTTTGTCTTTGAGTCCTTCATTAGCTGATAAGCTCTGGGAGGACAGAGCCTTACATACCTTATTCATCTCCATTTTAGCCACATAGCCACGGACAATGCCTGGACCCATCAGACCTCCAGAAGCACTTGAATGTATTTCACTACAACTGTAGTGAGCAGCACTGGAGGCCCCACCCAGCAGACCTTCTAGTGAGGACCCTTTAGTGAGGACCCCAGGTCAAATGAAAACATTCTCACATTCTTCATGGCGAACTGGGGCTAATGCTCAAACCCTGAAGGGCAGTTGTAGAAGATAAAAGGAATCAGTAGAAATCATCCGGATCGTTGTCAGGGCAGCTTCTTTACTGTATGTACTCATCCTTCCTCTCTCATAATGTCCTAAAACAAGTCAGTTTGGGCTAAAAACAATAAAGTGGAACCAGTGTGGCTCCCACTTGCATGCAAACTTTGTTACACAATGGAATTAGCTAGGGGAAGATGGCCTTTAAAAAATGATGCTACTAGCTCTCACCCCAAGCATTGTGATTTAATTTGTATGGGGAGTCACTTGGGCATTGGGACTTTAAAAGCTCTCCAGGTAATTCTAGTGTTGCAGTCAAACTTGAGAACCAGGGGGGTAGCCTCTTTTCTCTAGGTCTCTTGCCTCATCTTTCAAGCATCTGGGGTGGGTTACATGTCAGTCTTAAGTCCTTGTAAGATGGATGGTTTCATGCATACCTTACCATCTGCAGTCTTAGAAGGGCCATAATACAGGGGGGCTACAACACAGAAGGGTTAGCAAAGCAACATCACACTACTAAGACCTGAAAGTTTCCTACTGGGTCCTTGTCAGCAGCAGAACCATGGCAAGGACCTCCTCTTGAGTCACCCGACATTGTTTTTAGCATAGTCTTCTAAGGAATTCTCAGAGTAGCTAGAAGGAATCTGTAATACCTCTGTAACCACAGCAGCTGTAGTATCTGGAATGTTCTGGATGACACAGCAGCTGTCAGTTCAAAAAAAGTGGGGGAAAGATGCCCTTCTCCATTAGAAGATAAGATTGATTATGGGGTCAGATGGGGAGTATGGAAGGTGTCTTCAGTTCCAGCATTGCATTTGGCTTCCTCTCATTGATGACAGCAGGGTTTTGTACAACCTAGCTTTGTCACAAAGAATGATCGCTACAGGACCTGATAGCCCTGGCTGCATGCAACTATTTCCACACAGAAATCCTTCGGTCTGCTCCCAGCTATCACTACAGCTTTTCTTTTTCTCCTCAGGTTTGTCCCTCTTGGATTCACTGTTCGTGGAAAGTCACTTTGGAAGCGGTCCAGGAATAGCTATCAGATAAACCCAAGCTAAAATTCTCTCTTGGCCCCTTAGCTGGTGGTCTTAAGCAGGTCACTTAAGCTCTCTGAGCCTATGTTTCCTAAAAATCAGATGAAAAAAATAATATAGCCTTGCTCGCTGCATTGCTGGGAGCATAAGATCAGAAAATGTATGTGAGAAGTGCTTTGAAAGTGTCAATCTCTATAAAAAATACAGGGACTCTTCCTATGCTACATTTTCAATGAAAAATAGTGCTATGGGCTGGTGGAGTGGCTCAAGCAGTAGAAGTTAGCAAGTATGAGGCCCTGAGTTCAAACATCAGTACCACCAAAACAAAAAAGAAAAAAGAAAAAGAAAAATAGTGCCAGATTTTTGATGCAATGGTGCATAATTATTTTTAAATTAGGCAGGATTCAGATTGACTTTAAGACTTGCCATGCCCTCTGTAATCACTCCTGACCTCACAGATCTCTTACCATTGAACTTCACTATATCTACCCACTGGCTTGTGAAGTAATAAAATACTCCTTCATATTTAGCCATTAGACCCTCAAGGTTCAAGAAAATCCTTATTGTCTCTTTTTATGGAAAAGAAAGGAAGTTTAAAAACTTGCTGGCTGTAACACAGCTTGTCAATAGAGGACCTGAGATTTCCATCTAGGTGTGCTGACACCAGGCTTGGAATTTGCTGTTGACCCACGTGAAGCTGCTGTTGCTCATACATTGCTCGTCATGTGACATGTTTGGACAATCTCTCATGTGTTTTATAGGGTCCCCAAAGCTGGCTCAGACCTTATGTAGAGTAAATGTCTGATAAATGTTTGATAAATGAATGTTGGGAGTTTTCTTGTTTGGGTTTTTTTTTTTTTAAAGCACTTGTGTAAATCAATGCAGAGAAATCTGCAAGTTGCTAAATCTACTCAGAGCTGCCAGATGTTGGTTTGGAGACTCTAGGACGTGTTGCAGCCAGGCGGGAAGGAGGAGCTGTATGTTACCAACAGTTATTTGGCAGCATCTGACCAAGTCAAATACTGATGTAGGATGAATTCCAGGGGAAAACAGCATATGGCCCTAAAATCTGGTACAAAGTTGTATATACAATCAGTTGGCCACACCAGGCATGTGAACCTGGACACAGGACAGCCTTGGAAGGGAAAGGCTCTGTGAGCCCAACTTGGATATCATCTCCCACAGGAAATCCCGAAGATTTATCTGGAAAGCTTCAAGGTGAAAATATTGCTATGCAACATCTGAACCATATTTTGTAGAAGAAAACATGCATCCC